GTGTGTATGTGTCTGTGTGTTTGTGTGTGTGTGTGTGTTTGTGTGTGTGTGTGTGTGTGTGTGTGTGTGTGTGCCTGTGTAAGTTACGATGTTACGGTCGCATGTTCATGTGTAGATTGTATATTTGCTGGTGTGTGTGCTATGATTTGACGTTTGCGCAATATGAGAGGACCTGTTGATTTATGACTGGAGTGTGGTGAAGTTATATGCAGGCGAGACGATAGGCATGATTTATGTGGAGGGAGACGGAAATAAGACGCAACTTCGACACAAGTCATGCTGAATCTTTCCATTATTTCCACAACAATTCCTTCTTTAAATACGTTAAAGAGTATTAGCGAAAACAATAAACATAATATTTTCACTATAAAAATAAACTCCTGAAAAACAGAAGAAACCCATTCGTTTCACCCGTGTGAGATTGTGTGGGGAAGATAATTAAAACTGCGTTATAATTCCATGGTTCCTAAGGGGTTCCCATGGAAATTGGTAAAACCTAATTTTTGGAAATTGAAATTTCATGGAATAAGGAACCACTTTTCTAGAATCTGGTATGATGGACGGGAGTGGGAAAAATGGGATAAACAGCATGTACATGACCAATTTAAAAAAAATATTTTTGATAAAAAAATATCTGTTAACTAGGCAACTCAGCACGTGTCCGCGTCCGTATATAGACAAGTTTATGACAATCAAAAAGGGGAGAGATTGGGAACAAATTTCAATTCCTGCTCGCCTCTAATTTACACCTACAAAATGTAATATTCGAGCATCACAAAATGACTGACGTTGAATAAACAGTTGAATAACACACAAACAACAAGCGCAAAATTACAAAAATATACAAAATCTTACAAACAACATACAAACAAACAATATACAAATAATATACAGACAAGCAACATGCAAGCAAAAGACAAACAACATACAAGCAGCATACAAACGATATACAAACAACATATATACATACAAAACAACTCTCAAACAACATTACAACAAAATACAAACAAATTAAATTTACTTAATTGCAAGATACATATAACACACAACAACATGTAGTACAATACAAAATAGAAACTACACATAAACAACAAAAATCATAAAAACAAACAAAAAGATACAAACCCAGAGATAATGCATATAAACCAACATACAATCAGTATAGAAACAACCTATAAAAAACATACAATCAATGTACAGACAGCATAGAAACATTAAATAATGACAACAGCATGTAGCAAACATTATAGGACTCTCTCTCACACTAACTTTTTGGTACTTGGAAGCACACAGACACAACAACACAAAATAAAACAACAAAACAACGCAAAACAACACAACAACTCAAGACCGCAGCAACCTAAGACGCAGTCTGGTGGAATTGAGTTGTTGATTAGCATGTTTGCGAGGTTGTCATTCCATTCTTTAAAGTGACACTTGCACGCGCCCTGGCCCCAATCATTCATCCTCTGTAAACCCAAGAGTACCTAACCCTCATGGAACCTTCCCTTCCGTGCCCCCACCTTCTCACACTCCTGCTGCCTTCTTCTTTGTACTGCCACGTGTTTGTTTCTGTGTTTTTCACTGTTTCATCGTGTGTGTCTGCTTGTTAGTGTGCGTTTGTGCCTAATGCGTTTGTTTAGTTTATTATGAAGGATCCAATGTGATGTGTTGTGATGTGATGCGTTGTGATGTGATGTGTTGTGGTGTGTTGTGATGTGATGTATTGTGGTGTGTTGTGATGTGATGTGTTGTGGTGTGTTGTGATGTGATGTGATGTGTTGTGGTGTGTTGTGATGTGATGTGATGTGTTGTGGTGTGTTGTGATGTGATGTGATGTATTGTGGTGT